GGCCTCTCGCCTCCCCCCGACCGGCGTGGTGCTGGGCGAGCCCGGCCCGGGGCACGGCTGGCCGCTTCAAGCTCTGCTTCCTCCCCGCTTCGCCCAGGTGTCAACGCCATGCTCAGGAAGGTGGCGGTGGCCGCCGCCTCCAAACCCCACGTGGAGATCCGCCAGGACGGGGACCAGTTCTACATCAAAACTTCCACCACTGTCCGCACCACGGAGATCAACTTCAAAATCGGGGAGAGCTTTGAGGAGGAGACGGTGGATGGACGAAAGTGCAGGGTAGGAGGAGAGCCGAGGCGTGTGTGTCTGTGTGTGCGTGCGTTACCAAGTTCTTTTCAGATGGGACAGACGCATCTGCTGCTGGTGTCCCCAGACAGTGGCATTACTGCCCTCCACCCTCTTCTTCCCAGAAACGCTCTTTGGGGGTTCTTGGTGGTCGCCGCTCCTCTTGTCCCTCATCCAACGTTTTCCCTCTTGCAGGGTAAAACTGAAATCTGAAGGCAACAGAGGTCTCAAAGGCAGAGTTCGAGTACCCGCTTGCCGGCTTCTTGGCCGGCAGGGTTTTGTCCAGCTCTTTTTGCTTCTCTCTACCCTGGAGACCTCAGCTGCAATGAAAGCTCTCCCCAGCCTCTGTCCCTGACAGAAACACGGGGAACAGTGGAGCAAGAGAGAGCTCGAGAGTCAGGATTTAGTGCACAAACCTGACATAACTTTTGTCCTAAACTGAATCAGCTGAGTTCACAAGCAAGGACTGCAGACTGTTGGTAGTTTGGGGCTGAAATCCTCTTTCATGCCCTTGCAAGTGCATGTCTCCAGTTTGCTGATCAGATAAGTCTTTAACAGTGTAAGGCAGACTTCCAGTGAGTGTTACACCAGCCATAATTACACCATCTCCTTGTGCAGAAGTGCATTAGAGGGCATTCACTGGAGTGTTTTGGGCTTGATTCTGTGTGTGAGCCCCTGCTCCTCTACCTTTGTAACTGCTTCTGTGGCTGTGGAGGGGGCTTTAAGTCAGCAGCGTCTGACACCAGCCTCTCTCTGCTGTAGATAAGTGGGGTCTGGGGTATTGGAGAACTGGGCTGTAATCATAGCTGTCTTTTGAAAAAAGTTATCAAAGGCATGGGTTTGTTATCCTTTCCTCAGGCACTTTACTGTCACACTTAGAAGTATGTATAAAACACTTATAAAAGAAGTATGAATAAAGAGTATCAAGATGTAGTCTCAAATGAGAATACAGTTTTAAAAGTATCCTATGGTGGTGAAATAATCTACTTTCCAAAATATGATCTCTGCTAATTCTTGTGCCAGCTTCTGAGAGCATTTGCACCACTAAAAATTCAGAGCTTACTATCTCCAGTGCAATTGCTGTGAATTTAAATCTATGAAAAAGGGAGGCAGATTCTAGGAGTCAGTGAACATTTAGAACATCCACTTGATCTCTAGGATGAGTTATCATGTATTTAACAGTTTGTTCAGGAAATGTTGCTGGCTTTGTTAATTTATCTTGTTCGGCAAAAGTAGTATGTTAGCGTCTTCATGCATAATGCATATACAATAAATGTGACCCGCTTTCTAGAGAAGGATTTATTGCTGCAGATGGAAAAACAATAATTACGGCTGTAAGCTATGAAAGTTGGAAAAATCTGAAAGAAATGTGTTTTGTGAAGTAGTAAATTTTTTCCATGTGTTGTGAAATTATTTATAGTCTGCTCCCAGGAATAAGTTGTACTGCAGTGTGTATATAACCAAGATGTGGCCACAGAGCAGAAACTGACAGATAATAAAATAATACTTCAGAATGTAATTTGGAATATCTGGCAAAATTGCTGACTGGCGATAGATTTTGATACACTTTATGGGGTGGAGGGTTTTGTTTTGCCAACTAACTTGATCCATTGTTCGTACAGACAAAGAGCGAGTCGTATGTAGTTGCACTGCAAGGCATAGCTTCTATAACTGCCATTTGAGATGGCTTGTTGGCTTAAAAACCTTATTGTTTTGAAAAAATATTTATAAAGTAAACAGCTAATTTTAAATCAAAGTCAAGTTTTTTTCCTTTGGAAAGTCTGGGAAGTGTTAAATTGAATTTATGCCTGCATATGCACACACACATGTATATGTATATGATCACAGACTAATGAATATCTCCCATGAGCTAGTTATAAAGCGATTACTTGCACATTCATTACAGGGCATCCTTCTGCACAGCTGTTTCATTGCACTGTAGAATAATAGTTCAGTGCTAGAACGAAAAGCAACAGTCGGGGCTTGCCTGTTTGTGAAAGCTAAACAAAATCCTATGGTTTTTTTTTTTATTTTTCAGTGGTTTCATAGTCGTTACTGAAATGCTTTGAAAAATGCCCAAGGGTATTTCAATCTCCGGACCCACGACCTTAAAAAAGTAACACTAGAAACACTAGAATTCTAACAAAGTTTCTTCAATTTAGTTGTGACTTATTCTAGTTTGTTAGCACAGTAAGTGTTTAATATACAGTTAACTTGGCACGGTGCCATACAGCATGAAAGGTTTTAAGGGACAAATACTGCATTATTTATGACCACAACATGATACATATGATTCTTGATGCTTTTACGCTAAGGAGACTCTGTACTGATAAATAACATGTCAGATCAAACCACATGTATACAAAGATGCTCGGGAATGTAGACACTACATTATCACATTTTTAAATTATACTTTTCAACATCAAGCATTTTATGAAAACTGGGTGGCTTTTTAATTTGGAAGCAAATGCAGATTTTTGCTGAAAAGACACATTTACAATTACTTTGTTATTAATATATACCTATTTCCAAAATGCCCCCTCACACCTTAATTTTGATTTCACCACTTTCCACTGATGTCTTTTTTCCCTTTGCCTTTATCTATCTATGTGTTGCTCCTTTACTGCAGCAATTGTTCTCACTACTGCTCATTGTTGTCTTTCTGCCTCATGCTGCTGGGGAATATAATTAATGTTATTCCTAATGGTTTTCTTGCCTGCAGAGTTTGGCCACTTGGGAGAATGAAAACAAGATCTATTGCAAACAAACTCTTATTGAGGGAGATGGCCCCAAAACATACTGGACTCGAGAATTAGCTAATGATGAGCTGATTTTGGTAAGAACCTTGCATCCACCCAGTACATGCACCATATTAACAGGTTTTTGTTACCGTGTAGTATGACTTGCTATTTTTTCTTACTTAAATCCATCTGGAAAACTACCATTTCCATACTCCTCTACAGTACAATTCATACAACACTTTTTTTTTCCCTTTTTAAATTTTTTTTTAAGAACAAATGAAGATATATGCAGGTTCTCACTTGCATTTTATTGCTCTAACTTTTGCCATACTTTTTCTGGTAGAATAATCACGAGTGGGCCACTTCTGCTCTGTAAATTCACAACACCACCAAAGAATTTGCTTGATTTATTGCAGGTTTTCTCTGGTGAAAGTGAGATCAAGGCATTTGACCTCATTTCTGGGGAGCCTTCTTTTTTAGGCATGTGCATAATATGTTGCCTCTTATCCATAATCACATGGTGTATAGCAGGAAAGGTGTGGCATGTTGTTAGCATGCTGTAATCTCATTCTGGTTTTGAAGAACATATAATTCCTCCCCCATGCCTGCCACCTTCCCCAATTCCTTGATAATCTCTGAATGCAGTTCAGAATCACCTTCCTGACTTTCTCAGAAATACACCAATTTGCACATTTGCTGTCAGCCAACATCCCCTCACTCCTATGCGACCTTCCATATGGCAGCAGGGTTACTGTAGGCATTCTGAGCAGCACCTCTGCAACTGCCTCACCATTTATGTTGTGAATCATGTGCAGTTTATTTATTTATATTGTACTTATTTCTGTTAGATTTGAGTTTTCTTCACTGAATCTTTCCTCAGTAGTCCCTCTACATTAATGAAACAATATCCAGAACTAGATAAAAACATAGTTTCTCTGAGTTACAAGTAGCACAAGTTAGCTTGAGTTCAGAATCATTTTATTGCGTGTTCTTACTAGTGAATTCCAGATAAATAGTTGATTAGACTGCTACGCCTCATCAGTCTGGGCACAGAAGACAGGCTGCTGGAGTGACGGGTAAGAAAACATCAAAGCAGGGAGGTTTTATTTCAAACTATCACACTAGCTAAACCTCTGCACTTTAAAAAACAAACATCCTCCCCAGTGTTTCTCTAAAGCAGTTGGAGCTCTGTTTTTAAATTGCATCTGAAACAAAAACAGGACCCAAGCCTAACCAAGTATAAACAAGAAGCTTTTAAGGTGTTAATATTATTCCAGACATCTTGGAACTGTTCACCCACCCCTCATGAGGAGGTGTATGCTGTTAGTGAAATCACACTGGTTTCTATTGAATGAATGCTCCAATTCTGGATAATTTCTTTTGACTCAACCACTGGAATCTTTATATTATCAAAAAACTTCAGAAGGCAAAGTACTTTGATCTCTGCTTCACATCTTTATATATAATGCAGCGGACAAAATATATTCTTGACTATAAATTTTCCAGCTTTCTAACAATACATTTCTGTAGTTTATTATTTAAGCAACAAACTAGTGAGGCAGCTGTTAAACAAAGTGAACTGCTCAAAGCAAAGCAAGAAATCCAGTCATAATACAATTGCCTCCTGCAATCAGCAATGTGAACTTACCCTGCTGGGGGAGAAGAATGAAGTTGGTTAAGAAACCAGAGCGATTCAAAGATTCTAAAGCCATCTAACCTTTTTTCTTGTATGATACAGTCTGCTGAGCTTTTCTGAATTAATTATTTTTCAAATTAGGATATAAATTAGAAAAACTATTAAAATATTTCCATTTATAGGAACTCAGACACAACTTTTGGTAAGTTTTTTTACTGGTTAATTTCCTTGCCATTAAAATATACACTTTATTTATAACCTGGATATGTCTAGGTTCAACTTCCAGTCATTACATATCGTGTATAAAGAACCTAAAAAATTTGTCTAAAGTTTGTTATTGCAAATACTTCTCTTAACAACACTGATCAAGCCACCTCTTGGAAGAACATTCTTGTTGTCAAGCTAAACCATTGGAACACCCTGAGCCCTTCAATATAAAGCAAGCTTTCCTTGAATCGTTCTTTCAGTGCTTCTATAACCCCCTCCAACTTATCAATTTCCTTTCTAAACTATGAACACCAGAACCACACATACTGTTTTGGTAGCAATCACACTAACACCTGATATCATGGTGACTTCATCTCCCTACTCTCATCAGAAATTATTCTGATTTATGTGCAAAGACTTTGTTAACTCTTCTTTGGGAACTCATGCTGAGCTGATCATGATCCCGAGTAATTTTCCTGGTTTCTGATTCCCCAGACTGGTCCCCTTCCCCTCTCCTGCAAGTTGGGACTATGTTCATTGGTTGCAATGTACGATTTTACCATGGCTTTATGAAAACAGAGTGTTTGCTTCCAAGTGATCCAGATCATTCTCTTGGTCTTTTACTATTTAATATGACATACAGTTCCATTCTCCTACCTCCTTTCTGGAGCATAATGGCCTCTTTTGCTTTATTAAATATTAGGACATTACTTGGTCCTCAGGACAAAGATTTTCAAGCCTCTTGTGACATTCTATGGGACTGAATGTACAAATCTTCTAAATACATGGGTCAACATGTTCAAAATCTTCTGACACTCAACTTAGAATATTTTATCTTATGCTTGGAAATTTTCCTTGGATCTGAGTCTGCAAGCCCCCACTTACATCTTACTTCTTCAAAACTAAGATCACAGTGAGAAGAAGAGATCTTTCTTTGTCTTCTCCTCTCTTTCTTCTTCCATCCTCCTAGCTTTGTTAGGGTTCTTTATGACCTGAAATTTATTCTCATTCATTTTTGCTGCCCATATCACTTCAAACATTTAACAATTCCCGTCATCACACTTCTCAAACCTCCCTACTTACCTAACAAATATTTTCTGGTCCTTTACTCTTTCTGATGCGCTTTGGTAAGCTTTCCCTACTTCCATTCTGGCAGAGCACCTTAAGTAAGCAGAGGGAAACCACATTCTTGTGAACTTCTAGATGTCTGCAACTGGGAAGCTGTCTTTATGGGGCAGAGCCTGTGATTTAGCAGTTTAGGAACTCTGTAAGGCTGATACTTATTCTCTCAGTCTCTGTTCCTGTTTCTCTGTCCAAAGAAATCTTTCAAGAAATCTTGAGTCTCCTTCTTAGCTATTACATGCATTTGCAGAAGAAATCAAGAAAACTCATACCACATTTGGAAAAAGTTGCAAAAAGGAATCTAAACTGTGTTAGACTGAGGCATGAATGGAAAAAAGGCTTGGGGCAACAGGCAGGGGGTAAGGAATGAGTTTTATTCTGCTAATACTGGCTGCATAAATGTTGGACCCTTGCCACATAATTTTGATCTAATATACTGCATTGCTTAGGGGGTCCATCTGATTATGACATTTTCCTAGTGGAAGAATGTATTTTTCTCCCCAACACAGCATGTTAAATAAAATGCGTTTATTATCACATATAATTAAAAAAAAATCAGTGTTGAATTGTCATGACTACCACAGAGCTATAATAGAAACCATATTACTGTATAATTATCAATCTTTCTTGCATCCTGGCAGAAGAATTCCTTATGTTCTTCAAAGATATTCCCTTGGAACAATATGATGATCTTCCATGTCACATCATGTCCTCTGGTACTTGCTGGGAACAAACTATTTAGTTAGCAAAGGTTTTCTTTACCTTCAGGTGCAAGTTAAGTTTGCCTTTAGTTCTCCTTGGCTCCTTGCAGCATGGAGAATGAGATTACTCTTATCAGTAGTATAAATAATATTTGGCTCATACAATGGCAGATGTAGGTCTAAAGTCCTGTTAGAAAAAGAATCCTTCCAGCTGAGTAAGGGAAGAAGGACCAAAGTCTGCTTTATAAAAAAGGTGCTGTGAATGTGTTAGAACATTGCAACTACTTTCATCAGTGCTATTTATTCTAATCTCATCTGATGCACTTGCTGTGATTTCAGTGCTGCATTTTTACATGGAATATGCAAGCAAGGGAGGGTGAAAAGGATAGATTCCTCTCAAAGTCCACATTTGTTTGTCTTGACTGTATCTTTAGATTATATTGTATTGTACTTTAAGACTGTAATGCATACAGAGTCAGAATATCTCTATTTACAACTCCACATTCATAAACTATACTTAGATTAGCACTTGAGTAATCAAGATCAGAATATAACACAAAAATATATATTTCCTTTACTTGTCTGAAAATTAAGATCTGGGATGAAGTCTATCCAAATATTCTTTTTCTTCCTTTTTATACTCTATAATGTTTTTGCTGTTGCTGTGTGTTTTTGTCAGGGACATTAATGAGCTATCAATCACTTGTGTAAGTCAGAAGAACAAAGCGTCTGCTCTTTACAAAGTTAAAGGATGCTGCTTCCAAACATTAGCTCTTCAAATGAGAAACATTTTTACTCAAACTTCATCTGCATTGCTGCTTTCATGGCTGCTCATGCCTCTATCAATTTTAGTTTAATCTGTAACACACAAATGTTTTAAAGTGGATGATTACTGAAGAGGGGCTTTAAAAACAGCCTCAGACCACATTTTACACAGTTCATGTATCACACAGGGGTTCTCAGAATCAATTATAGCAAGGGTCAAAGATCAGAACATTAGGGGGGTTTCAATCATGGTTTCTATTCTACATTCCCTCCCCAGAAAAATCATGCTGTAGTTGATTAAAACTGGTCAACTGTGGAGCCTAGATGAGTGAGTGAACATTTTTTAAATTGTATTGCTGGTTTCTAAAACTAAACTTAGTAGGTGAGAAGGGTCAATAGAGATTTGGAAGATACTCTGCAGCCAAATGCTGAGATTTGTGATGTGCCTAAGCCTTGTATCGAACAATGTTGAACTACCTAAGTAAGTGTTTAACTTTTCTATAGTTTCTGGAGAGTGATCTTAAATCAAATCAGTTATCAAAAGCAGGGTCTGCTCATACTGAGGTCAGTGGTGGGTTTTGCTGCTGACTCGTTAAAGCAGCCTTGATAAAAGTTCAGAAGCATGTAATAATGCATACATATGTGTTGCATGGACCTAATGCTTTAATTTGCTATTTCTCACAAGCAGATTTACAAGGGGGCTTAGGGATCTGCAGCCCTTGCTCACTAGTACAGCCTGGTCTGGGTCACATCCCAAACATATCAGCAGAGAAAGAAGCCAAAGCCACGTGCATCTTGGATGCATCTCAGCCTGTATACAGCCTCTTATAATATCAGTTGTAGCTTAGATGTTTGCTGTGTACTGGCTTGCAAGACTACTACTGGGAAATACCATTGTCTCATGTCATGGCATGACTCTGAGGAAACTGTATAATATAGCCGTTCTCAAACACAAATACCAACATTTAGGTACCTTGATAAATGACCTGATTTTGCATGCTCCTGTTGATTGATATCCTGCAGAAAGTGAGGTTGTATATTGGGTGATTTGCTATTAATAACCAAGTTTGAAAATGGGGGCTGCACCTTCTGTGACTATGGCCCCATAAGGATCAACCTCTTTCATAAAACATTACAGGAGTCAGGAGAAGAAAGGAAATATGCAATATGCCTTATTGTGAAGATTTGTATCTTTATTCTGGATAACATGGAAGTTTCAATGTGGACAAAACCTTTTCTGAGGATTCATTTAAGTAATACCTTCTCTTCTCCGTTTGTTTGCTGATGTATTCTGTCTTCCTTTTGCAAGTTGCCTTTGCAGGTTGGTCAGTCATGAGCAGATAACAGGGGATTTTTGCATACACTGGCAGAAGTGATCTTCCCCAGGTGATTGTTTCAATGACAGTCTTCCTAATTATACTGTGTGCTCCGCTTATCACAAAGGCTCCTCAGCAAATGTTTGTAAAGAAGGCCTTCAAAAAGCAGATTTACTCATACAGTAATATATTACCACCCTGTAATTCTCTGTTAATCTCTAGTGATGTCAGTGGTCATCAGATTTTGAGTGAACTGAAAGAGGTCAATTTATTGGATTATCCCCCTGTGCAGGGCTTTGTTTGCAGTGTGCTTTTGGACTCTTAGCTACAGATTATGACAAGCTAAGCGAAGAAAACAACTCTGTAATTTGCAGTCATTGCACATTTAAAATCCTATTTTAGATTTAGATAGAAGCCTTGCGTTGTAGCATTTTGTAAGATAAGTGGGACCTTTGCAAGCTCATGAGAAGGTGGTGTTTGAAAATCCTGCATCTTCTCATTAGATTTCAATTGCAGTTTGGTAGTGTTGCACTTTTTTTTAGTTGATCTGGTGAAACTTCACCACCAAATAGCCAGGATTGCTTGCACTCTTTCTTTTTATTAGGAAGTTGTACTCCTTTGGGTCATGGAAATCTTTAAATTATGCTTGTTCTGACAGGAACTATCACTTCTTTCCAATCTAGAATTAGAACCATAGACACTAAACTGCTTTATCCTACCCTTGAACACAATGATTTAAGTGTGAAGGATAGAGGCATAACAGCCTTTTGATTTGGATCTTACCCGGAGCTTGGGCCCATCTGTACATTAGATGTTTGTGTGAGCAACCCCAAGAAAAGGAATACAGCAAGTTTGACCAAGTTCCTCTTCACTTTGTTTTGCAACATTTAGTGGAGTTTTACCAGCAATGCTACTAAGTTACAATGATAGGGAAACACCTTTTACCTAAGTCCGCCATGACAATCATGACAATCAAAGCCATTTATTTATGTGCTTCAGTATGGAATTAGGTTTTTAATCATCTGAAGGGGTATAAGGTATAAAATCTAAGTGCTAAAAAATGCAGCTTGTTCCTGAAACAGGTCAGAGGCCACATAACCTCAGCTGGGTCTTCAAGGAAAGAATGCTTGGCTGTTTGAGAAGTGCCCAGTGGCTACATGGTACTCCACAGTAGTTGTAATTGGGCTTTGCATGAAGTTTATCTCTTTACAATCTAGATTTAAAGATATGATTGTGTTAAATTATAGTGGTTTTCGAAACTGTGAGACTGGTGTGTTGCAGAGAATGACAATCCTCGTGTATAGCAACTGATTAAGACTACTATGTATTTGGGTTCCCCAGGCATGCTCATGTTTTCTGCACTTAATTTTTATCCTGACAGAGCCATTTGAATGCAGTCCTTTGCTTGAGATTTTCAAGAGTACAGAAGTCCAGCTGGAGCTGGATGTTGGAAGTACAAAACTAACAGCCATTGCGCTTTGTCACAAGCGTGTCAAGTTGTGACTCTGTGAGTGCACAACAGTCAGTCTGCATGTACATACAGTGGACTTGCTGCCTCTGCAATGCATTCTGGATGCACCCATACTACTGAGCTTTCCCAGAATGTTACTATTTCTTTTTTCTTCCTCCACGAATCTTTCTCTTTATTTTCATACTCCTTCCTGTGGGTCTTGCAAGGAAGCTGCCAGTCAGACTACACTGATGTCTTAGGAGCAAGCTCTGCCCAGGAGTGCAGTCTCAGAACTGGACACTAGAATTTCAGACACTCAGACCTACAGTGGCACCCTAGGACAGACTTGTGGTATGGATCACATCTATTTCAATCTACTCTTCCCTGCAGTGTTCCCTCTCCATACAACTGCTGACCTGTTGTGAGAATAACTGCTGTTGTACAGGTTTAGAGGAAGAAGTTTGTCTCTTAATTTCCCCAAAAGAATAGACATAAATTTACTAGGTAGGTTACAAGAGTTTTGGCAAACTGCTGCTGCTGCAACCTTTCTCATTACAACTGGCTGATGTGGCACCCACTCGCATCACAAGATGTGGCTGCATAGCTGTGTAGCTCCAACTGTGAGACTGGGGCCGCGCCAGCTCTTGAAGAACACTACACAAAGACTGTTTTACTATTGTTTATGATTTGTGTTGAAATAGCAGGGAGGACCCAAATTTCACTGTGCTTAGCAGTGCCTGAATGTACCATAGAAAGACAATCACTGTGACAGTGACCTTCCAGTCTCCACAGACAACCTCAAGCCCTGGATGGTCTTGACTCTGACTTACTTTCTCTGGCAAAGCTCTTGCCGAAATAATTTTGCCTTTGTGTATAGTTTTGGAAATGTTGAAGGAAGCCATAGTAAGGGTATTCACAGCTAGTGCTGTGGGCAATAGAGAGCTATCTGCATCCTTTAATGTCCATTTTCAGACATTTTTCTGTGTAAGCTAAAAATGTATATGAAGATTGATATGATAAGCTTTTTATATGCATAAAAACAAAGCCTGTATCTCCAAAATACTAACAGACTTTTCTCCTCAATAAAGTGAACAAAATATAAGCCAGAGTCAGTTTTAAAGCCAAGTCCTTTCAAAGAAGTGTTGGCCAAAACAGGTGTAGAAAGCATTAAAACAAATAAAGTCCAGCTGAGTTTTCATAACACACTGGGGTAGGTCTTAATTACATTTTTCAGTGAGACCTTGGCAGTTATTACAGCCAAACTTCCCACCTCACAACTTGTTAGTGGTGAGCTTGAAACTGTCTGTCAATGTAGCTGAAAGTGAAGGTTTTTTGCAGTCAGTATTTCCTCACTCTTGCACCCATTATTTCCTTCATGTTTAATTGCTTGCTTAGATTTCAGCCTGCCAGACCTGAAATTGCATACAAACACTTTGCGGTTTAGGTGCCTTTCTCAGACAGCTGCCACAGTCACTGTCCTGCCTATCACTGTCCTGATAATATGTACTGCAATATTGCTGTGGTAGAATTGCCTTTTAAGTGCAGAACTACAGAATGATTTAAAAAAACTCAGGCTTTCGATGCATATCTGAAAACTCTGTTTCAATAGTATAACACCATATAACACCAACTCTAAGTATATAGAAAATCAAGGTACTCTGAAGTACTGAATCTGGTATAAGAAATGGGATGATAATGGGACATAGTCTATAGTAAGTCAGTGATTTTCAGACGTGTGGTGATCGAATGTTTGTAAGATCTCACAGATGTTTAGTTATGTGAAATGAGTTTGATCTCCACTACATTTTCCTCCGTTATGTGCCCTCATTTCAGACCCTTACCATAGTTAACAAATTCACCGGTTAAGGTCACGGTATCCTGAAAGGAAGTTGTGATTGACACTGCCCACATTACAGCTTGGGAGAAAGGGTTTTGGTATCCTAGCGTGGTGTGTCAACATCTTGCAGCAGTATTATGTTTACAGGTTATAAGTATACATTCTCCTCATCTTCAGCATTGCTCCACTGACTTCATTTGGACTACTCTGATTTATACTTGAAAATATCAAAGAATACCTTTTGAACACGGCATCTGAATTCCACCCTCAGCATTTCAAGTTCAAAGTGCTGCAACTGTTTCTAAATATAATAACAGTACATTCCAAATTCTCTTTCTTTTCTCATGTTTATTTATAAATGCATGCCAAGAAACTACAGAAAAAAGGGAATTTCTGCATCATTTATCATTCTGACAAAATTCATCATGCCTTGGAAAAAAGGTCACTTACGTTGCATTCCTCTCCCAAAATGACTCCTTCCTTTACTCTCATCTGTCAAAAGACATAGGAAAATGTACTTCTGCTGTAGAACTAGCTACTATAGTAAAAATAACATTTAAAAATGGTGTTAAATGTTTGCTGGTTCTATCTCTTCTGATTGATTTGTATTTCTTTTCCAGACCTTTGGTGCTGATGATGTTGTGTGCACAAGAATTTATGTAAGAGAGTAAAAACATCAATTTACTTGTCATCTGGGATGAAGTGGAGAACTGTGAAAATCCCCAGTATAATGAGTATCTGTGTGTGCTGTTACTAATGCGGTGTTGTATGTGACCGTGTGTGTTATATCTGAACCCATATCCTCTGTTAAGTGTATTTTGCTTTCATTTTTCATTGCAGACACTATCCCTTCCCACTTTTATGCCATCATTTTTCATGTGTGCTTTGTATTTTGTAGTTGTCACTTGCTATGGTTTCATCAATTATTAAACTTATTGGGCATAACTCACAGCTGTTTTGGGGTGTTTTTAATAGAAAACCCAGCAGTGCTTTGGTTAGGACTGGAACACTTTTTACTTTCTGTTGAAGTCAGTGTGGAGTTTCACTGCTGTTGGCTAGCACTATGCTGTCAGGGAACACCTCCTGGGGCAACATAAAATGCAGGAGAAAAAGTGAATTGCAAGGCCTTTCACGGAGCTGCAGGCTGCTCTCTCAAACCCAGAGCTCTGCTTCTTTCCTTCTTTCTGTCCTGTCTCCTTGGGAGAGCTGTTGAGGAACAGTTCCTGTATCCTGTGATTGCTGGGACTGTGATTCAGCAGAACCAGAGAAGACAAGGAGAGATCTTTACCCTCTTTCCTGATGTGTCTCTGAAGAATGCCCAAACTTTCCCTGTTGAGATGCTCATTATCCAAGTACAAAACCCAGCTGTATCTACAGGACACATAACATTGTGATCATGGCTAATACTTATTGTCATCACACCCAAGCACCTCAGGCCTGATCAGAGAGCCAGCAGAATCTGACGGACTTTACTTGTTTGGGCCTTAAAAAGATAAAGCTGAGGAAAGATGCTTTTCTCTTACCTTCTCACCTGGGACAGAGAAAACTTCCAATGGCTCAGTGTTACAGCTCTCACTTTTGGTGACTCAGTACTTCATTCTTTGAACAACTAAGTATTTCACAAACCAGGGCCATAGTTCAAGAATGAAGGAAACACCAAACTTAATGTATTTATTCTGGCTCAGAGTTCTGGCCACAGCACTATCAAGTATTAGATTCAAGCTGAATAGACATTCCTCTAATGAACCAGAAACTCTTCTGTTCTTCAGCCTTGGAAATACCTGGAGATTGAGACTAGAAGCACTAATTTCAGCGCAATATCCAAGCTTGTCTGACCAGCTTTCAGCTTTGCAAGAGTAATTTATCTGCTTCATGTCACTCAATCATAGAAGATTTTTAAGAGGTTCAGTGTTAGCAGAATATATGCCCTGTTCACTGGACTGTGCTCAATATTCAGAATGGGAAAATAGGTCCAAATCTTGATCGTCGTGGGACATCCATGGTAAACAAATTACTTTGTCTCTTCATCACTCGCATAGCTATGCAGAGAAATCCCCTTTGATAGGATTGTCAAACTGCTATGGAGAAATCAGCCACCTGTTCTATATATTGCAGTGTGAGGTACAGCAGCGCAACAGGAGAGAAACGTACGATGTTTTCTGTCTCCTCTGTTCTGACAGGTCACACTTTCTTTCTCTGCCATCAGCAGTCAAGATACAATATTACAGTTGAAAAGGGGGATCTTTTCCTTCCACACTCTAACATTAGGCCAAACCCTGCTTCTAAGACCTTTGTTCAGTTGGTACCAATTAAATACACTGCATGATAGCTCACATTGAAGCATGGGCTGAAATTAGTTCGTTGTGGTTTGGATGCAGCTGAAGCTACCCCCCCAGTAAGAATGAAACCATGAGTCGGAATGACAGTGATCTATCTTTATTTTCTATATTCTTTTAAGATTAAAATTAAAATAGTTGGGTGTTTTCTTCCAAACAAATTCCATTTCAGGAGTATCTGGACCTGACTGTAGAATCAGCTGTGCCAAAGGGACTCCATAAAAAGTGCCAGGCTGAGCTAGCTCAAAGCTTCTCAGTGATGCAGACAAAACTGTGTCTTGCCACATCAAGGCTGAGAAGTAAATAGCACTGTGTTGCAGGACATGCTGGCACATGCTATATCCTACAGCAACAGGAGCCCACCAACACTGTAGAGTGCTTTGCCTCCACCTCCAAGAAGGTGGGTGGTGGATGTGGGGGCTGGTACAAGCTGATGAGGCAAGTAGTAGAGCCAAAGCCAGTAAGTAGCAGGGCTGGTTTGCCATTTCAGAAAAATGCTACTCTTAGCAATTATCTTTGCTACTTGTGTCTAAAGTAGTCCTGATGCACAGTTTGTGAGAGTTCAGCAAGGTACCAGTATGAACCTCACATTGGCTAGAGCAAGTGAGTACATTTAATGGAAGCAGTGATTTCTATGTTTCATTTCTAGGAAGGTTGATGCTAAGTTGTTGTGCTACTCAAGGAAATATCCTTCAGAAAGCTTTCCCATCAACTGGAAAATACCAAGTCAGGTTTCCATCCAGTTGGCAACTACTATCCAAGTAGTCAAGCATGATCTGTGTAACTGTGTTGTAGAGGTTATGATTAAAAACAGGCTCTTAAGATATAAGCTACCCTGCATAACTGGGAACTTTCTTCTTCCAGCATTGAAACTGTTCCCCTAAGCTTCATTTGCAGTCTGGCATGACAGAAGTTCCTTTCTTTAGTAATTTCATTGTAGAAGCTTCACCACTTGATTTACTTTCATGGAGTTACATTAGAGTTACTGGTCCATGGGTAAATTCATATGAACAGAGACTAGAACTGGTCCAGGGTGTTAGTTTTATGGCTCATTGTTGAAACAGTGCAAAGGCCAAATTGCATTTTGTGAGTCCTCCTGGATTTAAAAGCTCTTAAAATGTAGGCACAAAAGGATTTGGAATGATTTTACTGGCCAAAAGCCTTGCAGTTGTCTCCTGCCTTTCTTTTCTTTGCTGAGATTAAGCTCCTTTGGGAACATGGAAGTTGAACAATGCCAGGGTAGCCAACAGAGACAGTTTTATCCACTTTTTGTGTAAAAAATCATGAATTCACCCCTCCTCAGATAAGGTGATGGAAGCAGCGTAGTGTTACTGTAGCTGGTATCCACAAAAACTTAGTCTCACAAATGTCTGAATGTTAAACAGTTGTGTAGCAGAATAGGATCCTGAAAGCTTCAGGCAGCCACTCTCTGCACATAGGAGGGAGGGATTTTTATATGCAAAGGTGCCAGGACAATGGAGCACCTAAGGGTTACATAAATGGTTTGTTGATTACTTGATAGTATGTGGATATCTGAAAAGGGCCCCAGGGATTTTATGGATATTGCCTTCCAGATTAAAATCAAAGATGCTCTCTGCATCACTAGGTCTTTTAATCAGGCCTGTGATGGAACAAGCAGTAGAGCCAGGGGCAGAGCCTGGCTCACAGTTATGTGTATCAGTGAGCAAGCAGAAACTTCCTTCCTCTCACGCTGCTGTGTTCTAATTAGCACTTTGTCACTTGACCTGGAAGCACTCAGTGGTTGCAAGCATAGATTGGTGACAAACATAGCTCACCTCTGTCTGGATGGCAGCTGACTGACCGCTGTATGCGTAACCACCCACTGCATGCTTGCTGTCTTGCAAGTCTCTGTGCCCAAGAAGCTAGACTTCTGAGGTCTGCCAGTGCTTAATGGTGATGGCCAAATGACTTTCAGGCTTTGCGCCTAAAAACTTCCTGACCATATAAGTGAATGCATCAGGGAACTTTTCCCTATGAGTTTATTACATACTACTATTTATGTTTGAGAGTATTTCTCCACACAAGGCCAGCAGAGTACAGATAGCTAAGAAGGTGAGAAGTCTTCCTCCCTGAAATCTAAAGGCTTTGTCTTGCAGTTGCCTAAAGAGTCCTGCTGGTTGAATGGATACAGTACAAATGAGTATTTAGTTGCCTAAACATAGGTGTCTACAGCTATTTTAGACATCCTATGTATCCAAGAGATCTGCACAAAGCTGGCATATAACACAGGCTGCATGAGATCTGTGCCTTTTTTTGGAGAGGCAGCAGCAGACCAGGGACAAAACCTGAGGGCATCGCAACATAGATGGCTGTGATTAGGCAACTGCCTCCCAACCTATGTGCCTGCAGGCTTGGGACCATGCTGTGCACTGCATTCACCACACTGATAACTAACTGCTGCAGCAAGACAAAGAAAGGGTTATACAGATCTGCAGCAACTTGGCACTGTGTGTAACATTTCACAAAAATAAAACTTCCCCACATGAATGGAAAGCTAGGATACAGCAGCCATATTCTCTGCCCTAGAGCAAGAGGAGTTCATTTTAGGATTTTCCTTTGATTTTCCATACTTTGTTCTTGTGCTGCTTTCATAAAACATTTATTGTTTTTCTTTTGTCCAGGAAAAATAAACATCCTAACCAGTAAACACATCAGGCAGTGAAGTTGGATCCAAAATAATCTGCTGGGGAAACCCAAAATATGAAAAAAAAAAAAACCTCAGCCAGAAATGTGATATTGCATTGAATTGTTCAGTTCACACGCATCTTACCATCAGCTACTATTGTGTGTGAACAGAGCTGTCCCACTGCATGCACTGTATGCCCTGGAGAGCTAGTGCTGCTTTAGCTCAAGTGATCACTTTTGGCACTCAGAGCACAAAGAGATCTATTTCTGCTGACAGGAAGCTACAAATCCCACATGGCTGCAGAATCTAGAGTCTTTGAATCCTGTTAAAATATGTGCTGTCTGAATACTGCCATGTGAGAAGTGGAACAACCTAAGGTGTTCTCTTTGATATTACAGATGGCTGGCTGGCTGGCTAAGGAGAGTGATGAAAAAAATGCTGTTATTAACAGTGGAGGAATAGGTGGGAATAGACAGCATAGGGCTTTCTGCTAATTTCTTCATTTTCAACAGTCCCTACATTGCCTCCCAGAACATGAGGCCAGTTTCAATCAGAAGCAAAAAACCCCCAGTGTTCTTGAAATTTTAGTTCACTCTTACTTGACTCTTGGTGCACTCTGCTAAATCAGAGTGAAGTTCTGAAACCGGGGATTTTGTCTTGTATCTCTCACTATTTCCACCTGAGGGCCTGCCAGTGATGCTCCACCGACATAATCCGTGGCAGGCACTCAGTCTTTTTTGCAATGTTCCCAGAACAAAGAGGAATCTGGCAGCTAATCTGTTTTACAAGCTTGAGTATGTTTTGCAGTTAGAATGTGCTGTATGGTCACACACTGCAACTAGAGAGGACAGTGGTGAGGCTTGAAATGGTTTCTGCAGCAGGCAATACCAATCTTCTACTAGATACTGCTATCTCCCACACAAACCAGCTGCTCACTGAGAGAGGCAGTTCAGCTGCTGAAGCAGAAA